CAGTTTTAAAAGCCCTCCCACAGTCTTAAAAGCTATACATAAGAAAGACTACACAAAAGAAAGCATTACTTAGTAGGTTCTGAATGTACTTAGTATGTATATGAACTCTGTAGAAAAATTATATTGCCGCTTCTAGAAAGAGTACAGAGAAAAGTAACAAAGATGATTAGGCGACTGGAGGCTAAAACGTATAAAGAATGGTTGCTGGAATTGGGTATGTCTAGTTTAATGAAGAGAAGGGCGAGGGGTGATATGATAGCAGTATTCCAATATCTCAGGGGTTGCCACAAAGAAGAGGGAGTCAAGCCATTCTCCAAAGCACCAGAAGGCAGGATAAGAAGCAATGGATGGAAACTAATCAAGGAGAGAAACAGCCTATAACTAAGGAGAAATTTCCTGACAGAACAATTAATCAGTGGAACAACTTCCTTGCAGAAGTTGTGAATGCTCCAACACTGGAAGTTTTTAAGAAGAGACTGGACAGCCATTTGTGTGTGAAATGGTATAGGGCAGTGGTTCTCAACCTTTTTAACGCCGCGACCCTCAACCGGTCGTAATTCGAGGACTACTCAACCGGTCGTAATTCGAGGACTACTCAACTGGTGCAGCACCGTTTGCAGAATGGGACTTTTGGCGGGCTCAGCAGGGCAGAGACAGCCTGGACAATTCCTATTGGCTTTTGAAAGCCAATAGAATTAGACTCTGTTCAAGAGAGTCTAATTGGTGAAATGGTCATTCGACCCCAAATGGGGTCCCAACCCACAGGTTGAGAACCACTGGTATAGGGTTTCCTGTCTGAGCAGACCTCAGAAGACCTCCAAGGTCCCCTCCAATATTTATTATTGTTGTTGTTGTTGTTATTCTCTTGTCAACTCCCTGTGACTCAAAGCATCTTCTTATGAAATCTGTCAAGCCCTGAAGGCTTGCCATACACAAGGGGACAGGGGAGCAGATGGCAGTCCACCAAGCTCGGAAGCCACAGAGCAGCCCACCACCCCACCGCATCGCCGAACCTGGCATCACGTCCCGGACACGCCTCCACAGTCCAACATACCAGCGGCAACGAGCAACGCCGAGTTAACGAGCCCGGGACCACCCGAAAGCCATATGTTGCTAGCAAGCATGGAAGTCCCCGAGCCTCAGCTGATACCGGCAAGCCGGGTGGTGGCCGGCGCGGCGCCGCTGGAAAAGAACCTCATGCCTTCGCACACGGACCTAGAATGGACATGGGATGGGGGGGACATACCCATATGGGGGGACGCTAGACAGGGAGAGCTTGGCGGCGGGAGGCTGCTGCATGAATCAGACGCGCGGGAAGGGGGTTACGAGGGCAGGATTCCGTCGGTGAAAGGGAGAGCACAGGGAAAGGGTGGGGCACTTATACAATTTGACCGGATGCTGGTTTGGGACCAGGGGCAGGGATATAGGGTGGGGCGCACAATTATAATGCGCCGGGAGGAAGCCACTCCCAGCGCTGACTTTGCTTCACATTTGAAATAAAGAAGTCAACGAGTGCAGTGTGTACCGGCGTTCCTTACTTTGCTTTTCACCTAAGGACGACAACGGATGCATTGACAAAATCACCAATAAGCTCACAGGAAGACCACAGCCCTAAACTGAACAAACAAAAATAGATTGATAAAGCAAAGAAATAGCCAAATTTTTGCTTCAAAGTTGTTTTGCTGATTCAAAGGAGGAGGGCATTAATTTGCAATTCCAGTTTTTCCTGTTATTCCAAGTTAGATTTTATTAACATGAACTAAGCATAACTATTATTTCTAATACTCAATCCATGCTCAGGATATAAAGAGGATATTAATGGACAAAATATGATTAACTTGTTTTGAAATAATAGATGATACATGGACCTTTCAGCTTTTTCTCATCTGTATAGAAAATCTGTACCAAGGTTCATAGCTACTGTATATAAAACTTTCTACAACACTGGAGCTGTTAAAGAGAACAAAAACTATCTATACAAATATGGAGACTGTGCTGGCTGGAAAATTCTGGGAGTTGAAGTCCACACTATTTCACACAGTTGCCAAGGCTAAGAAACACTGATCTATGGTTAGGTCAGGTTTCTATAGGTCTAACATTCAATCCTAAATTGAGTGCTATACTTGTACAAAGGGACTCCCTGGTAAAAGGTCAGTATTAATTAGATGTTTATTCCATAGCTGCCTAACGGTCAACAAGACTTAGGCTTTGTATACATGTCCCTCGCAATGAGATGACCAAGTTACTATTCTAGTTTATAATGCCTTGGTAAGAGCATACTTGGAATATTGCACCCAGTTTTGGTTGCCACAATATAAAAAAATATATTGAGACTCTAGAAAGAGTGCAGAGAAGAGCAATAAAGATGATTAGGGTACTGGAGACTAAACCATATGAAGAACTGGATATGTCTAGTTTAATGAATAGAAAGACTAGGGATGACACGATAGCAGTGTTCCAATATCTAAGGGGCTGTTACAAAGAAGTAGATGGGAAGCAGAAACTCTAGATGAAGAATACATTTCCTGAAAAGAGCAAAACTATTTGTCTTTGCACTAACAGTAAGATAAGTGCTGAACCTTGGTTCAGAAACCAATAGGTACTAAAGCAGATATGCTCCTAAATCTTTAAAGGTTGTACTTGGGAGTCCAACATTAGTCAGGACCACCTACTGAAGAAAGTGACATTTTCAATCAGATTCCTTTAAGATATTTTAGTCTGCTTTGTGGAGTCTCCTATTTTGAATGCATCTATTAATTATTTCAAGGAATTTACCTCTCTTTTTTATTTCAAGTTTATTCATCATACAATGCTTATATGTTTTGTTCCATCTAATCTATCTGAACTTCAGATACTGTACTGCTCATCTAGATCTGGATCCAATGTCTCTATAGCAGTAGTTCTCAACCTTTTTAATGCCGCGACCCCCAACCGGTCGTAAGTTGAGGACTACTCAACCGGTCGAAGTCGAGGACTACTCAACTGGTGCAGCACCGTTTGCAGAATGGGACTTTTGGCGGGCTCAGCAGGGCAGAGACAGCCTGGACAATTCCTCAAAAGCCAATAGAATAAAAGGGAGTAGCACAGCTAAGGAAAAGGGGGGAAAAAATGGCGGACTGCGTTGTTTAGCGACCCCCGTGAAATGGTCGTTCGACCCCAAATGGGGTCCCGACCCACAGGTTGAGAACCACTGCTCTATAGCATTCTATGAGAGACTGATGTGTGATTTGTGATCTTATTGTTGCTTAATGATTTCTTCCACTCAGTTGTAAAGACTACCTCAAACCAGAAGATTTACTTTTACAATTTTTAATAAAGTTAATTCTTAAATAATAATGGAGCTTGTTTCAACTTGTCTGACCACACAAAGCTCCTAGGGTCAGGAAGTGAGTTTAGCTTTCCTTATTTATCATTGTCATCACTATCAACACTATCATGCCTAGTTTATTTGCAAGTAAGCTGCTTGGGTACAAGAGCTTCATCTCTTATGAAATTCAATATTAAAAGAAGAGCCATGGCAAAGCTTTTCCTTCCTCCTGGAAGATGGGTGCTGGCAGCAAAATGTACTACATAGCCAATAAGCAAAAACTGTAGTAATTCCTGCATGAATGAGGTCCAGATCCTGTATAGAGCCAAGAGTTAAATTAGATAATTTACCCTCTAACTCTACAATTTTATGATTCTGCAATTTAACAGTCACCATATATTTATCAAATTAAACCCTAACACATAAATGTGCAATACCTCCAGTGGATAAGAATCAAATTAAGGTGAAACATATTTTGATTTAATAAAAGATCTAAAACTTTATGAAGTTCCTAACCATAATTATCTGATGCACAGCCAAAATTAAAACTAGCTCATTATATCTATGCAAAATATCTGGAAAAATTATTAGTAATAGTAATTAATTTCATCATTACAAAGATCCTTTTTATAATTTATTTAATCAAAATTACTGTGTATCTACTTTATTACAGATAGACTGTGGTTTATAATCACACCTGGGACCAAAACCTCTGTTGGTAAACAAGATGATTGAGTTGCGCCTGATTTTATGTCCTTTTTTGCTACAGTTGTTAAGCAAATCAGTGCAATTAAGTTAATCATGTGGTCTAAGCCAGGGGCTGTGGACCAGCACTGGACCACGGCATGCCAGAAACAGGTCTGCACTAACAAATAAAACCCCATCTATGGGATACAGGAAGCACACAAAACCACATCCCCTCCAATTTGTGGAAAAATCTCTCTCCACAGAACTAGTCCCTGGTGCCTCAAAGATTAGGGACCACTGGTCTAAGCAAATCTGGCTTCCTCTCTATCTTTGCTTGTTGGAAGCTGGTAGGAAAGGTCACAAATGATGATTATGTGACCTCTGGATGCTGCAACTGTTGTAAATACATGCTGGTTGCCAAGTGTCTGAATTTTCATCATGTCACGGTGGAGATGCTGCACTAGTTGTAAGTGAAAAGACTGGTTACAAATCATTGTTTTCAGTGCCACTGTAACTTTGAACAGTTGCTAACTGAATGGTTGTAAATTGAGGACTACCTGTATGAATTTCTGTTTATGTATACTTGACTAATAGGTGTTTTTTCCCTGGTATATGAATATGAACTTATATTTAAAGAAAGTGACTTAACATTTTAAATTACTATTTGGCAATAATTTGAGAACAAATTCTTGACTTCCTCTTCATTTCATAAATATGTATTTTTCTTTTCCTAGTTTCATTCAGTAATTCATGTTCTGTACTATTTAGCTCTCTTACATTTCAATTTGTAATCTTGCACATCCTATCATTGTCTCCATGTGGAACCCTCAGAAACTGAATTCCATTGCTCATCACGCCTTTGATCAGTCAAAATCTTTACATAATTTTAACACCTAAATAAAAACTGCCTGTTTCTAATCTAACTTATCGAGTTGTACTTCATTTTTCTCATTCTTCCCTTTATTTTAATATTAATTAAAAATTAAAATCTAAAATATTGTCTTACCATGTTGTGTCTTCCTCCATTCCTCTTTTGGCATGGTGGCTTATTACTCTAGGACTATTTATACAGGTTGTGGGTCTGCTTGCATTCATTCCCCTTAAAAACATAGAAGTCTCTGTTGAGCATTTACAGGAAAAAAATACCCTGACAAACAAACTACAAAAATGCAAGCAGAAATGAAGTTCAGTAAAATTTACTGAAGTTTACTGATAAAAAATGTCACTATAACTACAATAAAAGAAGAAAACTACTGGGTAAATATATTCATACTTAGCAGTTGGTTTGATATATTGTTTATAAAACTTGTCAAATATTTTTTAGGTGTTTTCTATAGAAATGAAATATTATAGATTGCTATGTGGCCTGGAAAAAAATCTTAAACAGGTAAAAATGATGTGCATTACTTATTTTATTTATTTGATTTCTATAGCTGCACATCCCAACAAATGATTCTGCTCATTGGATTAGCCAACAAGATCGTGTATAGATAGTCCTCAACTTATAACCATTCATTTAGTGACCATTCCAAGTTATAATGGTACTGAAAAAAGTGACTTATGACTGGGTCCTCGCCCTTACAACTGACACAGCATCCCATGGTCATGTGATCAAAATTTGCAACTGACATGTATTTATGACAGCTGTAGTCCCAGGATCATGTGCTTGCCATTGGCAACTTTCCCAATCTGCCTCCAACAAGCAAAGTCAACAGGGGAAGCCAGATTCACTTTTCAACTATGTGATTATTTAATGACTATGGTGATTCTCTTAATGACCACAGCAAAAAAGTCATAAAACTGGGCATGATTCGCTTAACAACTGCCTCACTCAGCAATGAATTTCCAGTCCCAATTATGGTTGTGAGTTAAGGACTACCTGTAAATACGTGTAGAGGAGATACAGATGCAAGTATTTCCAGAATTTAATTTCCTGAGACACAACAATTTGAAATATGGCTAAATAGTTTAACTTAATGTGAGATTATGTTTTATAAATACAACATATCCTCTGCTTTATAACCAATATAAATCATTCTCAGTATTGAGAATATTTGCTTCTCAGTATTGAAAATATTTGCAGGAGCTCTATTTATGTATAAAAGATTATACAACCACCCAGCTTAATGCAACATAAACCTAGGCAACTTACAAATAATATGGTGGGTTGATTTCCATTTGCTAAGTTATTCAACAATACAATATTTCCTCAACTTCAATATCATTTCTGTATTAATTTTTTACTTTTTCATGAAATGAACAGGCTGCCCCAATCAATTATGATTCCTAGCTCACAAAATAAAGCACAAAGCATGAAAGCACGAAGATAACAAGTTGAAAAAAGAAGAATCTGGAGAAACAATGCCAACTTTAAAACACATATATATATACACACACATGAAAGTATATCACATATTCTGACCCAAGGGCAGAGGACACAGCCAGGTCTTGAGAGCTTGTTTAAATAAGGTCAGAATCTCAGGGGAAATGCATGTCCAGAGGGCAGGTACCGTTTTAGCCAGAACTGGACTTCAGTAATTCAGACTGCAATCTGTCTCTGAGGTACAAATATCAAAAGGCAGTTTTCCTACCTTCCTGACTGAATTAGCTGACCAGAAAGTAACTTTGCAAGCCATTTGCACATGCTGGATGTAACTAATCTAATCAGTGAAGGAAGCAGTTACAGTGTATTGCTTAATCTGTAGAAGAGGTACATAAACAAATGGGCTCATGTTCTCTGCGCTCTTAATAAAAGCAATTCTGGTTCCTAACAGACTCACAAGCATCTGGCTTTGTTGTTATGGCTACTTGAGCCAAAATGTTAGGATAAACATCAAAGAAAAAGTGCAAGACACAGGTAAATGTGAAAAGAGGACCAGCATATCTGATCACTTTTGGAATATATTTGCACATATATGGATGAGCTTTAATAGGATTTATTCGTAAATGCAAATGGAACTGGATAATAAAACAACATAAATTCAATTAGCTACCACAAAAACAAGACAGTATTTCCCACGTTTAAAGGTTCTTATTTGCTTCATTTGCCAGCAGCCTTTCATGCAACTGTAATTACAAAAGAAAAGGGAGAGAATGAAATAAGCCTTTAGATTATGAGTATTAACTTTGGAAAATTTCAGATCCAAAAGGCAAGTCTGAAGACATATCTTTTACAATCATACTACCCCAAAAAACAAATATATTGTCATATATTGTGCCATTATACCTAACAATTCCAATAGGGCAAAAGGGAAAAGGGGTTTTTGTTCCAGACACCTGTCATGAAGTCTTTGCAGGCTTTTGAGCTCTGCCATACCATTGGTCTTTCCATTTCTAACATCCAATGTAATTTAAAATCCAACATGCACTTGCATATCATCTTCACCATCTGCAATCTATGCTGCTTTCAGGCTGATGACTGTATCCTTGTGGGCTGCAGCATATAGAGATTTTCTTTCGCCAATAGTCTGATGTTCAAACTACCCAACAGCTGATCTGAAATTATTGGTGAACCAATCAATACTCACTTTTTTGGTTTCAAATGGTCAGCTACTGAATATACTGTTTTTAGAGATTGACGTGTATCATGAATTAAAAGTCCTTCCCTCTTCTCAAAAAGAGAAGCAAGTAAATTTCTAGTATCCCCATATAGAATCCCTTTTTCTGTTCACATGTGGTTGTAAATATCAACAATATTTATGCAGCAATGGTAAGAGAAATTGGCTTTTAACTTGTTAACTATTAACTGAGAAGCTTCAAAAGCCTTCTGGTTTTCTGCCAGATTAGTGTTGCAAAAAGCATTTTAGCAAGCCCTGCAAGGGTGTTGCGTGGCAGCAAATCCTGTTGAGAGTACCATGCCAGCAGAACTGGATCTGCTGATTTTCTTCCCTTAGTTGGGTAGCATAAATGCTACAAAGGAACTATGAAAAATGGGAGTTGGCAGGCAGAGCCTCCAATGGGAAATAAAACTACCCACTGATGTAAGATGAACTTGCTGAAATGTGAATTTCATCCTTCTTTGAAGCAAAGGAGAGAAAAGCAAGTGGCTTTTCCAGAGTGGCAAAAGGAAACAACTTTGAGAAATGTGTGTTTCATCAGCATTGTGCAGGCAACCAGTGCCTATTCAGTTCAAAAGGAAGTGAAAAAACAAAATATGAAAGCTTACAAAGTTGAAGTGCAGTATATTTCTAATCAATGTTAAAGGTAAAGAGAGAAAAAAGAATCTTGCTAGTATGATAAATGAAGGCACTGAAAAAAATAGCACTCTTCTATCAATTAATCTTCCCCAAAGCCAGCACAAATTGCCTTTGTTTGTATTTCTGAATGCGTGCCAGGGCAGTTGGTGTTACCATATTATGCCCCAAAGCCGTGCAAAGTAGAAAGAACTAGATTCAAAAGCAGGATTCAGAACTTAACTTCATAATTTATACACTATTAACCTTTAACTTCATAATATTATACACTACTAACATTTAACTTTACAACAATATACACTATTCACCTTTACAATTGTAAAGGTTAAGTCAGCAATACCCAGTTTTGTTTCTAGCTCTTTTAAGCAATATTGTAAGAATTTTTGTAAGATTTCCCTCTTTTCTAAAAGTATTACAGTAAGTTTAGACCAGGGGTGTCAAACTTGCAACATCACGTGATGGACACGGTTTTGGCATGATGCATCTGGCCCATGGGCTGGCAGTTTGACACCCCTGATCTAGACTAAATTTTCTTAGCATACTGACTGGGGAATTCTGGGATTTGATATCCACACATCTTAAAGTTGCTATAGGTGAGACGCACAGGTCTACAAAGTATTCAATATTTACTAGTAGTGCAGGATTGATCAATCTCCCATTTCTCAAAGTATACAATGTAAAATGCAAATTATTTGTTACTGTGAAAAGACTAATAATAAGATACTAAAGAAAGCCCTTTTCTATTGCAGCACCTGCCCTCTTGAAAATCATAGCCCCAAGATTTATGTTGCACTGCTGCTGGACTTGATGACAATTACAAGAGGGAAAAGCAGTTTTTTTTTTAATTTTTTATTCATAATACAATTAAAACAAAAATGGACAAACATGACATTCCAGAATGAATTTTCCTAACAGTTTGTTTCTCATGGTACAAAAACTTAATACATCGTTCTTAACCTCTGTATAAGCCTCATCCTTCTATACAATACAATTATATATACAATTATATGTACAGTTATATATATCTTTTCATTCTACCATTAACTTGAAGTCCGAGCAGTTCTGAGGGAAAAGCAGTTTTGATAAGCTTTTCAGTTCAATAAAATGAAATAAAAATCCTTTTGCACATACAAAAAGCAGTAGAGATGATCCAAAAAGCATTACTAGTGGAAAGAGGCTGATCTCCACCTATTATGTGTCTCTACATTTTTGAGTTATTTCAAAAGGCAACCTGCCAAGGATGGTTTGCTTCAGCATCTGCCTAATGGTACAGGAATATTTTCTGAGTTCACAGTGGATTCAATTTATTTTAATTCATTTCATTCCTGGACCATATTGTATAAAGTACATTTAGCATTTTTGTTGTGGGTTATTAAAGCAAAATCTGGAATAGTTAACATGGTGCTCAAATGCTCCACTGAAGACCACTGTGTTCATAGCCCCTCTCACTTTGTCTATAAAGTCTGATAAGATTTTATTTATTTGTTTGTTTGTTTGTTTAAATTTATTGTTCACCCAACTCCAATGGATTCTAGACAGTGAAAAAACTAGAAAAAAACGTTTAGAAAAACACCTTAAAAACACTGAATCCTAGAAGTAGCCCTGAGTAAAGAAATCTAATAGACAGCAAAAACAGCTACACAAAACAGGGGCCATCGAACAAACAATAAACAACAGCCCCAGACCTGGGACCAAACCCAGGTTTTCAAGGCTTTCTGGAATCCCATGAGAGAGGGTGTCATTCTTATTGGCGGGATGCTGTTCCAGAAGGTGGTGGCTGCAACAAAGAAGGTACACTTCCTCAGTCCCACAAGATGGCAATGTTTAATAGAGGGGATCTGGAGCACACCCACTCTTGTAGATCATACTGGGCAGGCAGAAGCAGTCAAAGACAAGCAATCTCTCA